GGGGCTAAGAGGCTGGCATTGGAGGGTGAAGTTCAAGGGCTGAGCTCTCCCAGTGCATGGAGTATGACCCCAGCCTGTGCATGGAGGCTGAGCTGCTGCAGGAAGCAGAGCCCTTAATTCCACGGGGCCCCCCACTGGTTTAAGAGCCATCAGGGCCTGAGGAGCATCTCTTCCCTGCGACATGGAAGGCTTCTCAGAGCAGGAGACGGTGCCGTGTTGCACGCTCACCCCAGAGCTGGCTCGGATGGGCCCTGGGGGTGGTGTACAGGCGGAGAAGGTGCTGAGAACGAGCTGCAGGTATGACTGCTTCCGCCTCCCCAGACTCATCTCAATGGGAGTGCAGGCCAGGCATCGCTCTGGATTTGCAGTTGTCCTTCAGACCGCATGAGGGCAGGTGGCTGAGCAGCGCTGTGCAATGACCATCTGTCTGGAAGAACAGGCTCTGTTGGAGCCTCACTGCTTGGGTCCGAGATGCAACTCCACCGCTTTTGCCTCCTCGCTGTGTGTATGTGGCCCAATCACCTAAGCTGCTGTGCCTCAGCTTCCTTAGCTGACAAGTGGGGATGATAGCAGTTCCCGCCTCACAAGCTGTTGTGAGGATGAAATGAGCTAAAGTATGTAAAGTATTTGCCACAGCACCCATCCCAGAGCAAGTGCTTGATAAATGCTGGCTGGGGCCACTATTGTTACTACCACGGTCCCTGTCACCTCTAGCCTTACTCTGGCCCCCTGATCAGAACACGGTTGTCAGAGATGTTCAGGATGGAGCATCAAATGGAACAAGTACAAGTGGTGTGGGGTTCTGCAGAATCCTAATGATGCAGAACCGCGAGCCGGCTGAGTGTTCGGATGAAACAGGCATCTGCAGGGATGGGTAATTTACTGCTCGCCTTTGTGTTGCTCCTGGAAGTCTTCCAGTGGCCTTTTCAGTCGTAAAAGAGGACAACTGATCTCAAGCTTACCTGAGGCCCAAAGGCTGGTGTGTGAAGTGCTGGCCTGACAATGGCTTTGTTGCCTGCCTGAGATGCACATCCACCTGCAAACCTCGTGCTGTGGACCCTGCATCTACTACGGAGGCCATGAGGAGTCTCTGATGTGGTCCAACCACACCACAAACAAGATGCTGCTGGAACTGGGGGCCTGGAAGCACCAGGCACCTGCCTCCTCACCCAGGATGCATCAGTTCCACAGACAAAACGAAAGCTCAGTGCATTTCGTTTGGGGAGGATGCAGCTGGGTTGGAGATGGGCTGTGAAGCACCGCAAGAGGACATCAGACCTATCAAAAGGTAAACACACTGAAGAAGCCCCACATGCCTCCCACGGCAAACACCCATAGGTTAGAACTCAGGGCTGGGTTTGGCACTTTACCAGGGCCTGCCATGCTCGGCTCTTATTTCCCAGGTGGACCCGAAGCCATTCATGCAGCTACGATGTACCAACCCTCAGGGACTGCCATGCAAAGATGGGATTTCAGGCAGTTTTATCCAGGCACAGGGAAAAAGCAGGTGTTCAGGAACATGGAGCCCCTCAAACCATGAAGTCTGCATGTAACATAGACCCTGAGCAAGATGGGGCCCCTACTGTCCTCCCGGGGATGGGAATGACAATCACCTCAGCCACATTTAATCTTTTCTTTTTGTTTTCCAAGTTAAAATGGCAGCTTAAGTCACCATCCTGAAAGAGCTTGAACTATTTTGACAGCCAGAAATACAGAAACAGGCTAGGACGGGATGAAATATTCCTAGAGTTTGAATTAGGCTCCAGGAAACCCAGAGTCAAATACTGCTATATAAATAGGCTTGTAAAATACACGTGACCAAAATAATTCTAAACGCCGTCCAGTTTCCAATTAGTCAGCACTTTGCTGAGGTCAAGCGCAATGGTGTTACCTTCAGGTTCACTGTTAAATTTCACACAGAGAAGAAGGGAGTACAGGCATGCAACACCAGCCCCATCCTGTGTGCACAGTGCTTTTTATTTCTTAAGCCACCGGGTCCTATCTCTTTGCTTCCAGGAGTCGCAGTCACCAAAGTGACAGCTCAACTGCAAACAGTGAAATGCTTCCTAAAAGATTCCCATCTATGCAGCTCCGCGATGGATGTGGATGGCAACCTAGGGCCTATGGTCTGTCAATATTGATTGGATTGATTGGTTAATGCAGTAGCCAATCCCACAGAAGAAAAGAAGTGGTTGTTTGGTTTTCCAGCAGGAGTTAACAAAATTTCCCGGATCTTTGAGCACATTAGCGTGTTGTACTTGCTGGAAGACATTTGGTCATTTCTTACTGGGACTCTCTTCCAAAGAATTGCACCTCAGCCCGCCTATATATTACCTTATTCTTATAAATGGAATAAATGAAACATTTTCTCAATGATGTCACACACGTCTAAGATATAGGCCGGCTTCATTTTCATTCACACATGAACCTTGGAAACTGTGTTGACTTGATCCAGCACCGTGGGAGCTATTAGGAGCCCCAAGGACTGACCACATCCAGGCTGGAAGTGGCTTAGAAGTCAAAATGCATGTCCCAAAAGTAGGGACTATATTAACCTTTGAACTTGAATAGATTAATAATAGCTTCCCCCAAAGAAGTAGAAAGCATTTAAGGGAATGACTTTTGTAAGAAGAGCCATATACTATATCATATTTTTCAAAGCCAAAAAATACTTTTGTGTTTTTTGTTAGACCACAGATTAGAAAAAGCTTTTAAATTTGAAATAATTATAGATTCCTAGGAAGTTGCACAAATAGTACATAGAGTCCTATGTCCCCACTTCCAGGGTCCCCAGTGGTGGCATCTCACAGAACCATCGGGTAACAGCCAACCCGGGAGGCTGCAATGCTGTGAGCTACATTGGACACCTCATCTAATTTCTACCAGATCATCAATTTTTTAAGAAGGGGAAAACCTCACAAATATCAGAAAAGTGTCCACGGACTCTAAATTTTATCAAATACTCAACAGGAAAGCACACATTTTCGTAAGGAAAAAAAAGATGTCATGGTTGAGGCTCTGTGCAACACCTGTATTTTTTCAGGGAAAATTCCGCCTGAAGAGGGTCTAGCACGGGTATTTTAAACGTTCACTGTCATGCTGGAGTACGTCTGTCAGACTCCACCGACCCCAGGCCTCGGTGGAAGTTCTAGCTCAGCCTCTGTGGCCTCCTGGAGGGCTCTTCACAGACACGTGCCCGTTAGAGTGGGCAGAGGGTGTGTGGATGCAGTGGGGAGGTGGGAGACCCAGGCAATCGCTCCCAAAATCCTTCTGGGGATACTGCCCCCATTGCACAAATGGCCCAGATTCCCAAACCTTGCAGGTGAGACTGGAAAGGGGCCGGGGGCAGGTGAACCTCTTTGCTGGGGAAACCAGCCCCTCCTCTGGGGAGGAAGACAGGAAGGCCATCCTGATTCTTCTCAGCACTGGGTCCCTCCAACGGCCATTCTGAGTGTTTTTGTGTATACATTCTGACATCCACTTTATGGCTTTTTTTGGGGAGGGGGGGGCTTTAAAATCTATTCATTTATTGCTGGTTTTATGATTACTTATGCTTTGGTTTTGAATTTCTAATGATGATTTGATAGCTTGGCAGATGACCATCATTATTGGCTAAGTGCTGTCTCTTTACACAAATCTATTTTGTCCACTTTGGAACACTTGAACCACTTCACGGTGTCTAAACATATGTTTGGAGTTCTCCTTTCCAACATGCCCACCTCCTCCCCAGTTCTCCTGGAGCTTAAAGTACCGTCACAGAGAGAGGGATCAGGGAGCTGCTGACGCTCGATGGTCACTGGAGACGCGGAGTCACCTCTGTCTCCAGACCTAGGGGAACTGCGGACCCTGGCCATGAGGTTTGCCCTCCTGCCAGGGAAGGGGGCTCCCGGATGTGGAAGGGAGTGGGAGGGACTCGGGGGAAGGAAGACACAGGCTGCTTTGGGTTAGACAGAGGGAGGGCTGGAAAGGGAGGGACCGAGGGCAAGTTCTCTTTGCTTCTCAGCTGTGCTGTGTGTCTGCCTCCCACTGCACACAGCATACATCCCTCGCATGAACATGGATGTGCCCATGGCGACCTGCGTGGGGTCCCTCTGAGCAAACACATGCCACCTCAAGAGACCCTGGGAGGTCTTACAAAGACTCTGTTCTTGACCAAACTTGAGTGAGGCTCCTCTGAGTCCTCTTCTTGACCAGGCTTCAACCTTGATCCTATCCTGTCTTTGGCCTGCATTGCCCAGCTTTTGCAAGAAGTCCCTGCCCCTGATATCTGATCACCCTCCATAACTGAGCAAGTTCCTCATCCTCCACCTTTGAGCCTAAGTCCTTGTCCTGCCTTCAGCAAGGATCTTGTGAGATCAGCTTAGCAAAAATCCCCTCCCACCGATGCCTTCTCTTAGCAGTTGTCCATCCACGGACCCCTCTCTCTGCTCGTTGGCCATAATAAACCCCCACTGGATCTTGCTGTATTTGAAGTTGAGCCTGAATCTCCCTCCCCTTTCACAACAGTCCTGAAAAAGCCTTCCCTACCATTTTACAAAAGGCAGAATCAGTTTTTCTCTGACATCCTGTGCAGCATGGATGCAGAGACCCTCCATGCCATGAAGCCCCCAGACCCACAAACACAGATAAGCCTCCATGCGCCCCTCAAGTCTTGGTGCCACATGGCAGGTTCTCAGTGGGGATGGACTCATGTCAGGCTACAAAGCCTTTCGAGCTGGCTGTTCAGAGGATGTCAGGCTATGACCTGGGTGGCCCTGGAATGACCCTCCAGGCTCAGCACTTGTGAAGGGGTGTGGGGCCCTCTGATTGGGGTATGCAGACCCTGGCTTTCATCATATTTAGCTGATATTGGTGATCAGCATGGCCTACTCTGAACTTCTAGGACAGGACTCCTCCCTCTGTCTCTGAGTAGGAGAATGTGGGCCAGCTGATCTCATAGAGTGTTTTGCTTCCTTTCTCCTGAGTCTCAGGAAAATTTAAGGGAAAAAAAGAGCACTTACTTTTCTTATCTGTTGTGTTGTGCACCGTCACCATAGGAACACCAGGACCTGTGTTGGGCAGAGAATAGCCAGGAAGAAAACAAAGACGAAGCCATTAGTTTAGCTGACAACAGAAAAAGAAAACAAGTTTTCCTTATACTATGGAGATAGATGTACGGAGCCTGGAGAACCCGAATTCACAGAAGAGTAATCAATGATGGGATGGCAGAGGCCAGGCTGGCAGGGGGGCCAAGGCACAGCTCCCTACCTCTGCACCTGTGTTAATTACAACACACCCAACTCAAAGTCCATATTTTCAGATTATTGTAACGCCATAAAACATTCTATGAAGCATCACATTTGGTTTATATCCTCATAACCTCATTTTTTTACCACACAGACGCACATTCCAGGATGGCTTTAGGGGTTCTTATAAATTAATGAAGCCTCAGTGCTAAGTCTGCTGGCTCCCCCAGGAACGATGTCACTCCATCCAATAGGTCTCTCATAACACCTTGTACAAACTTATTCATGTAACAGGAATATTTTGAAAATGTCAAACTATATTTCAGTTTTCCCTTGAATCACTAGCTTGCAGCTTCCCAGCTGCAGGAATGTTGCAGCCCTGAGAAGTGAGAAGGAAGGTCCAGTTCAGGACCAAGTGGCCCCTGATCCGTTTTCTCTGCAGGTGACTTCTTAATTCTTCTTAGCAAAAGGTGGGTCCGGAAAGAAAAAAAAAGTCTCTGAATTATTTTCTATATCTTTTTGAAAACATATTAACAGGCAGGCCTGGTGACTTTTCCAACCTTATTTTAGCCATTGTCCTCTGCACTCACCCGCTCCAGCTAGCTGGCCTTCCTGTAGGGCTGGAGGCATGTCAGGCCTTTTCCCACTGAGCCGCTTGTTCTCATTGCCTGAAATGCTCTGCCCCTAGACACTGCCATGGCCTTTCTCTTCATTCAAATCTCTACTCAAATGCCTTCTCCAACTGTCCCATCTAAAGGAACTCCCCTCCATGACCTTGTGGTCAGCCTCCATCCTCATGGCTTTCCTGATCTTTGTAGAACTTATTACCACACACTATGCTATCAGGGCCTTATAATATGTAATTATCAGTGTACTTGCTTGCTGTCCTTCTCTTCATCTATTGCACTAGGATGTAAGCTCTGAGAGAGTCAAGAACGGATCAGATTCACTGCTGTTATTTTCTGCATCGAGAAGGGTGTTTTGAATAGAGCTGGTGCTCGATTACATGTTTGTGGAGTGAATGCTGAATGAGGAAGCACAGAGCATACAGGAGAGGCAGGAGAGGGAGGAGAGGCAGGAGAGGCAGGAGAGGGAGAGGCAGGAGAGGGAGGAGAGGCAGGAGAGGAGAGGGAGGAGAGGCAGGAGAGGGAGGAGAGGAGGAGAGGCAGGAGGAGGGAGGAGAGGCAGGAGAGGGAGGAGAGGCAGGAGAGGCAGGAGAGGCAGAGAGGGAGGAGAGGGAGGAGAGGAGGAGAGACAGGAGAGGCAGGAGAGGGAGGAGAGGGAGAGAGGCAGGAGAGGCAGGAGAGGGAGGAGAGGGAGGAGAGGGAGGAGAGACAGAGAGGCAGGAGGCAGAGAGAGGGAGGAGAGGCAGGAGAGGCAGGAGAGTGCAGGAGAGGGAGGAGAGGGAGGGAGAGGGAGGAGAGACAGGAGAGGCAGGAGAGGGAGGAGAGGGAGGGAGAGGGGCAGGAGAGAGGGAGGAGAGGCAGGAGAGGGAGGAGAGGCAGGGGAGGCAGGAGAGGCAGGAGAGGCAGGAGAGGCAGGAGAGGGAGAGAGGCAGGAGAGGCAGGAGAGGCAGGAGAGGGAGGAGAGGGAGGAGAAGGAGGAGAGACAGGAGAGGCAGGAGAGGGAGGAGAGGCAGGAGAGGCAGGAGAGGGAGGAGAGGGAGTGGAGAGGGAGGGAGAGGCAGGAGAGGGAGGAGAGGCAGGAGAGGCAGGAGAGGCAGGAGAGGGAGGAGAGGGAGGAGAGGGAGGAGAGACAGGAGAGGAGGAGAGGCAGGAGAGGAGGAGAGGCAGGAGAGGGAGGAGAGGCAGGAGAGGCAGGAGAGGGAGGAGAGGCAGGAGAGGCAGGAGAGGAGGAGAGGGAGGAGAGGGAGGAGAGGCAGGAGAGGGAGGAGAGGGAGGAGAGGAGGAGAGTGGCAGAGGCAGGAGAGGGAGGAGAGGGAGGAGAGGGAGGAGGAGGCAGAGGGAGGAGAGGCAGGAGAGGCAGGAGAGGGAGGAGAGGGAGGAGAGGGAGGAGAGACAGGAGAGGCAGGAGAGGAGGAGAGGCAGGAGAGGCAGGAGGAGGGAGGAGAGGCAGGAGAGGAGGGAGAGGCAGGAGAGGGAGGAGAGGCAGGAGAGGGAGGAGAGGCAGGAGAGGCAGGAGAGGCAGGAGGAGTGAGGGAGGGAGGAGAGGAGGAGAGGCAGGAGAGGCAGGAGAGGCAGGAGAGGCAGGAGAGGCAGGAGAGGGAGGAGAGGCAGGAGAGGCAGGAGAGGCAGGAGAGGGAGGAGAGGGAGGAGAGGCAGAGAGGCAGGAGAGGGAGGAGAGGAGAGAGGGAGAGAGGCAGGAGAGGGAGGAGAGGGAGGAGAGGCAGGAGAGGGAGGAGAGGGAGGAGAGGCAGAGAGGCAGGAGAGGCAGGAGAGGCAGGAGAGGGAGGAGAGGCAGGAGAGGCAGGAGAGGGAGGAGAGGCAGGAGAGGGAGGAGAGGCAGGAGAGGGAGGAGAGGCAGGAGAGGGAGGAGAGACAGGAGAGGCAGGAGAGGGAGGAGAGGCAGGAGAGGCAGGAGAGGGAGGAGAGGGAGGAGAGGGAGGAGAGGCAAGAGAGGGAGGAGAGGGAGGAGAGGGAGGAGAGGCAGGAGAGGGAGGAGAGGGAGGAGAGGGGAGGAGGGAGGGAGAGAGGCAGGAGAGGGAGGAGAGGCAGGAGAGGCAGGAGAGGGAGGAGGAGGGAGGAGAGGGAGGAGAGACAGGAGGAGGCAGGAGAGGGGAGGAGAGGCAGGAGAGGCATGGAGAGGGAGGGAGAGGCAGGAGAGGCAGGAGAGGCGAGGGAGGAGAGGCAGGAGAGGGAGGAGAGGGAGGAGGAGGCAGGAGAGGGGGAGGAGAGGCAGGAGAGGCAGGAGAGGCAGGAGAGGGAGGAGAGGAGAGGGAGGAGAGGCAGGAGAGGGAGGAGAGGCAGGAGAGGCAGGAGAGGGAGGAGAGGCAGGAGAGGAGAGGCAGGAGAGGCAGGAGAGGCAGGAGAGGCAGGAGAGGGAGGAGAGGCTGCCCCTTTGGCTCAGGTGGATTGTGGGAAGATGCAGGGAGAAAGAGGAAGTGGGAAGTGGGTGGTCCGAGGGAGACAGATGCACCGTGGGAACACCCTGGCCAGGGCTGCTGCTTGCGTTCTGCTTCAGGCTACGGACCCAGGATGCCATGGACTCACAAGGGGTGGCCATAGCAAAGCTGAAGGATGCACAATGTCTTGGGCAGAGGGATGGCTGGAGTTCAGTATTCCTGCAGTCATCATCAAAACTCCCACACACTTCTGAGGGGTCATCTGACAACTGGCTGAAAGTCAGGGAATCTGCTATGGATCCCACCATGCTGAGGGCTTCAGGGCCTCACTGCAGAGGCCGCAGAGTGGATATCCTAGTCCAGGGCCCAAAGAGCATGTAGCAGAAACGCAAGGAGTCCTCTCCCCTTGAGAGGTAAGGTGGAAGGTCTGGCCGGTGCCCATCCACAGGTCCAGCTGAGCTGAGACACATAGACTGTGGGTCATGCTGGCCTTGGACATCAGAGCAGAGGCCTATCTGCTGCCCAAGGACTGGATCCAGGCTCTACCCCAGGCACAAAGTCCAGGAGTCCAGGGCCCTTTTCCCCAATGTGGTGCCCTCTCTGTTCACCCACAGGTGGGGCTGCCAGAGGGTAGGCAGGATGCCCGGTTCCATGTGGTGCTCAGATAAAGAAGCAGCATTTTCTTACCGTAAGTGTGTCCCATGCAGCATTTGGGACATACTACAAAAAAATTATTTGTGGTTTAGCTAAAATTCAAATGTAATTGAGTATCTTAAATTTTTATTTGCTAAATATGGCACCCCCTGCCCAGTGAGGGAACAGTGATCTGAAAGTCCACATACTTACACCCAAAGAGGCAGCACTTAGCAAAAGAGATTGAAATACCAGTTTAAATTATTGAGTTAAACTAAGTTTCTTGGCTCTAAGATCCACTTCCTCCCCATGGGGAGTTCAGGTGGAAGAAAGATGACTGAAAAATAAAGAACCTATATCTATGTTCTCTGCACATTTTGGGGTGAGTAAATTTGCAAACAGAATATCTCCTATGTTCTTATTAATAAGGTAAACAATTGTTATTTATTTAGTGCCTACTACGTAAAAGGCATGCTGTTAGGTTTTTTAGGAATAATTTCTAACCAACTCCTCACAGCAGCTCTGCAAAGTAGAGATTTCTAACCATATTTTACAGAGAAAAAAAAACCATGGGTGTAGATAGTTTTAAGTCTTTTGCCTCATCCATGCAATAAAGAAGCTACTGAGCCTGAATTAGTCGGTTTTCATCTTTTAATTCACAAACTTAATATATGTTTCTAAAAAACTTCAAACACTAAAGAAAGGAACAAAGTAACAGTGATCTGTTTTATCCCCACTTCCCAGAGGTAACCTAAATGTTGCTAAAATGTACTTAAAAATGTCTGTATGCACATACATGGTCATATTTACACATGAGCATGTATTTTAAACATAGACAAAAATAACATGAAAATGGTTGCATGTATATCTGCAAGCTTTATAAAATCTTAACATTACACTGTATTACTCTATTTTAAGTTAGTTTTTCTAAAGTTTATTTCTTGAAAGGCTAAAAAAAAATTGACAAAAATTTAGCCAGACTAAGAAAAAAAGAGGGAAGATGCAAATAAAATCAGAAATGAAGGAGGAGATGTTACAGCTGATAACACAGGAATACAAAGGATCTTAAGAGACTACTATGAGCAGTTACCTGGTAACAAATTGGATAACCAAGAAGAAATGGATAAATTCCTAAAAACATATAATCTATCAAGACTGAATCATGAAG